ATATCTTCGCAATTGTTGCGTGGTTCGTTAAACAATGGTCTATTTGAGCGAAACCTTCTCCCACAGCACTTGTCTTGTCAACTTCTGTGCCATAGTACGTCACCAACTCTTCAGGCGGGTGTTCGAAAAACGTGTTGGCAATAGCACTCGAGGTTGCTCTGCATGTTTCCAGCAACAAATCTCTATTCAGATACTTGCGCCGCTTAGGCCACTTGCTTCGAAAGATACTCCCCGATTGGACCGAACCTGAGGGCCCCTGAACTGTTCCAGAAACATATCAAGACAACCTGAGAACAATCCGACCCGAAATTCCTTGGCACCATAACTCCCAGTCAGACCAACACCCTAGAACAACTGTGATGCTGGGTAGATACGTTGGCGGAATCGGCCACGGCATAGCCACTAATCAATCAAGCAGGTACCAGTGTGCAGTGGGCCAGACGCAGACGCATTGACCAAGGAGGCCTGATATCTTAACCCCCCACCTACGAGAAAAAGTTGGGGGACGCCAGCGCGCCCACTGCTTTCTTATTGGCGCTGTCGTGCAATTGGCATGGCATCGGGAATGGTGATGACAGCGAAGGTCGCTCTCTGCCAGAATCCCCAGGGACTCGAAGCCGCCTGCGGCTGCGAAGCAACAGCGCGTCTGCCGCATGGCAATAATTATGTGATGCCTTGCGGCAAGGACTGCTTCTCTTGCGCGGCACTGCCGCCCAATGCAGGCGTGTGAGAACTCCAGGGTTGTTTGCAGCCAGAAAGGACAAGTTCTTTGGTAGCTAAGCAGTCCAATGCTGCACCCCAGAATGGTGCGCGTACAACTGCAAGCAGCTAAGCAACCACACGAGATCGCAGCAGCTACTTTGGGCAAGTGGTACAAAAAGTCCATGGCCACTCACGGAGTTACGCAGTACAGTCGGGGCCCTGAAGAAGGAACCCTTTTCGTTGGGGAGGGGCTCCGCGTCCCTTAAGTGTTTCACAGCTTGCCTCAGGTTTCCCTTCTGTTTTCGATGGGGAATCGAAGTTTAACTCATGGGAAAAAGGGGCATCGTTCCCTATTTAGGGTTCCTTAGGTCAACGCCCCGACTGTATAACGAAGCGCGCGAACGTCTGCCGGCAAGCACAGGCATGGAGCACGCAGGGCCAGCAACAGACGTGGCCGGCGTGCGCACCGAGCGGTCGCGCTCGTGCAGAAGGATCTGAATACAGTCGGGGCCTTGACCTAAGGAACCCTAAATAAGGAACGAGGCCCCTGTTTCTCCATAAGTTAAACTTCGATTTCCTATCGAAAACATAATGAAAACCTGAGGCAAGCTGTGAACCACTTAAGGAACGCGGAGCCCCTCCCCAACGAAAAGGGTTCCTTCTTCAGGGCCCCGACTGTAGGAACGAGGGGGGGGGGGAGTCGTCGGCAGTCTGCAAGGCTCTGAGACAGCCCGCCGTAGGCGCCGATCTTCAACGCATTACACAACGAGCCTACGGCAGGCGCTGATGTTTTGTCAAATCGATGTTCGGTGGGTCGCGGATGGGTCGCTGGGCGGGTCGCGGGATTGGTCGCGGGGCTCTGTCGCAGGTAGAATGCGGATCAACAACAACAACAACAATGACAACGGCACCACCACCACCAACAGCAACACCAACATCCATAACATCACCACCAACAACAATCAGTTCAATCCTGTTTGCTCGTATGTGATCGCTTACGGTTCACGGTCAACACGTATATCCCAAACCCTCGATATCTGCTGTCTTCGTCTTCGATCGTACCCCCATTAGGGATGTGTCATGGTGTAACTTTCTTACCTGCAACGCGTATTTCGTGCAGCCCCTAAGCCAAGGGAAAAGAGGACGGATGGAATAAAGGGATAAGGGGGAGGGAGGAAGATGGAGCACGACAAAGAATAGCAGGACGGGTGCTCGGAGCAGACACCACGTGGCAGAACCAAACAGGCAGATCGGGCGGGTGGACCCTAACGAGCGCGCCGGGAAAGCGGGGTTTACTGATGCGTGCGTCATGCATGAACTGCGGGGAAGTCTCGAGCGATAGCGCGGTTCCCAAATACATGGTAAGAAATCCACAGCGAGAAAGTGATTCCTAAGTATCGAGAGTGCGGCGTCTGAATAAACTGCGAGGACGTCCCACGCGAACGCGCGATTTGTGCATACTTTGTGAGGATGTCCCACGCGAAAGCTCAATGTGGGAATAACTTTGCGGAAGTATCAGGCGCGAACAACTGTTCTTGTAAAACGGGGGCCAGTGGCGTAGTTTGGTGACACCTCGCTTTCCCTGATCGAAGAAAGGGTGCGAAGCCAAAGAGAAACCCTCATTTGAAAAATGCAACGGTTACCGGGGAGGGATGGATCAATTATAATTATGATATAGAAATGAGGGTTCAACAACAACAGCAAATATAACACCACCACCAACAACAACACCAACAACAACAGGAACACCAGGAGCAACAGGAATAACAGGAACACCAATAACAGCAGCAGCAGCAGCAGCAACACAACAAACTAACACCAACATGCATTTCCCAACCATCCTGTGGTGTTGGGTCCTCGTTTTGAAGAGACAGCGCCCACCAGCAGGCGCGGCGGACACCTTCGTCGCCCCTGGCCACGAGGCAGCCGCCCACCCAAACCCGGGGCGCAGGGCCTTCGTGCTGCTGAGAGACTGTTTGCCTGATCCTTGGGACGTACCCTTGACGCAGGATGCGCCCGGGGCTGCGTTCATCGCGGTCGTGTCCCAGGGTGCGCGCGCCTGGTGTGGCCCTGCCGCTGCGTTTGGCTGCTACTGCCTGGGAATCTGGGCTCGGGGCGGCGGCTTCCTCAGCCCGCCCGGGTACCGCTGCGTCGTGATCACCGCCTTCGCCGGGCAGAGATTCTGTGAGGTGGACCGTTCGACTGCGTTTGGGCGGCTCCTCTGGTGGCCAGGCGCCGTCGCGCCAGGTGCTGGTAGACTGCTGCCACTGCCTGTACCGGCGCTCTGGGTACCCAGCGAAGGGATCTCGGCTGGGGCCAATCTGCCTGCGCATTAGGTGTGCGGTGCTGCGCGAGCTTGACGGAGTCCGTACCGTGTATGCCGTGACTGACCCGGAAAGGACGCCAGGGTGCCCGCGTCGTGTCGGTGAGGGTCGGCACCTCTCATGGCCTCACGGGTCCTCACGAACGTGCCCCACGCAGGCCTCGGGTTGTCGTCGCTAACGACCCTAGCTTTGATCCTGCCCTCCGTTGTGACTGCCCACGCAACGATGTGGGCCAGGGCCGCTCGTCTGCCATCCCAGGGGTAGCCTTTGGAGACTCCGCTGTCTGGTATCTCATTTATGTAAATCGTGGCCAGGAAGATGCAGCATTCGTGGAGGCTCCAGCACCTTGCTTCAGCCGTCCGCGCACTGCTGCCATGGGCGTCTGCGGAGAGCCGTCCTTGGACTAGATCCTGCCATGTGTCCTCGATCTGGTGGTGCAACCAGCTGGCGTGATCGACCATTACATGTGCGATGTCCCTGTCGTGACGGCCGTGCCGCGTATCGGATTTGACTTTCTCGGCTGGCGCTAGCGAGCGTGTCTCGCGGTGGAAGAGTTCCTCGCGCAGCGGCGGCGGCAAAAGTTCCAGGTCAGCGAGCACATGGCCCGGCACTGCGGGCATGGCGGGCAGGGGGATGCGGGGCTCGTCGGGGATGTCCGGCGGGCCGTGGGCTGGCCAGGTCGCTCCGTGCTGCAAGACAGGGCACAGCTGAAACGGGCTGAGCCCAAGCCCACGGACAAAGCCCATGGGGAGGTCGATGTCCATCCACATGGGGACCTTGGCGACGCCGTCGGGGAGATCTGGCTGGCACCTATCCCAGGCACCCCGTTGCTCTCCAGCAGGGCCAATCGCCCAGGCCAGCAGGTGAGCGTACACGAACTGCTTGCAGGTACAGTCCCAGGCCCAGGCGCCTAGATCTGGATGTCCTGCGTCCAATACCGTGCCGTCCTCCCACAGGGATGTGTGATAATGCCGCAGGAAGTCTTTCATCAGCGCCGCGCGCATGCGTCTGAACAGCTTGCCAAAGGTTCACAGATGGAGAGCGGGTGGTTTTCAAAATGTGGCCCTTGCTTCAAAGCCGCGAACTGTCGTCTCAAACACTTGCCAGAAGGTTCACGGATGGAGGGCGGGTGGTTTTCAAAATGTGGCTCTCGCCCCAGCGCCGCGCACATTCGTCCTAAACGATTACAGAGTGTTCACGGATGAAGGGCGGGACGTTTGCAAACTTTGATTTCTCGCCTTAGCTCCGCGCGCAGTCGTCTTTCAAACTCACAATCGTGTCACGGATTATCATGGTTGACCTCCCTGCAATTGTGGTCTGGCACGGTTTAGGATTGTCAGGGCGCAACAGTCACGTTAGTTCGCGGTCATCTAGTCCCAGGAAAGTTGCTCTGCCACGATGCAGGATCGTCAGAAAGCACCGTTCAAGTGAATTCGCAGCGTTGGAGTCCAATGACTTGTCTCTTGGCTCGATTGCGGAGTATCAGACGGCTGTATTTTAACATGGCACTTCCAGAAGTGAACTTCAGTTCTTACAGGGATCTATCAAAGGGAACTTGGAAGGAGGGTTTAGTGCAACCCCGCTGAAGCGCCTTAGGTGTACACGGGTCCTCCTCCTCCACTTCCTCCTTCTCCTCCTCCTCCTCCTTCTCCTCCTTCTACTCCTCCTCCTCCTCGACCTCCTCCTCCTCCTCTTCCTCCTCCCCCTCCTCCTCCTTCTCCTCCTCCTGCTCCCTCCTCCCTGTCGAAGGGTGAAGGGCCACTCCGAAATAAGTGCGACCCACCCAGTGCACCTCGAAACCTTGCGCGTTCCAAATTGTGCCAGGGGCCCGGGCCGCCCCGCAGGGCCTTCTCGTCGACCCCGGTGCCTGCCCCGAGGATCGATCGGGCTGGCGGGTGCGGCGGAAGGCTTCTGACCGGCCCTCCGCCGCGCGCCCCGCGGCGCGCGCCACGGAGAGAACGAGCCGAGCGGATCCTCCGGCGACGCGGCGAGGCGAAGCAGGCCGGCACGGCCACGCGCGCCGGGCGCAGGGAGCCTGGGGCGGGGAGGGTCGGGCAGGAGGGGGAGGGGTGGAGATTGGGGATCGAGGCTGGAGAGGAAGGAGTGATGGAGTGGGCAGGTGGGGGGCTCTTCCTCTGCTGCTCTTCCACCTCGTTCACCTCGTCTTACTCTTCATCATCATCTCTGGTGGGGCATTCGCGCGGCCAGTTCTGGGCTGTCTTCGGGTCCTGTGGACCCGTCTTGGAGCCTTCATGGGGCACATGGGGGTGCTTGTGGGCAATCAGTGTTTAGGCCGCCGTAATGCGCAGTCCTGGGGCCCTCTTGGATCGTCTTGGGATCCTTTGGGAGCCCTTCTCGGCTCTCTTGAGTTCTCTTGGGCGTGACGCAGGCTTGAGCCATCCCAAGGGCTGTCTTGGGGACCCGTTGGACGCCTTTTGGTTCATCCGAGGCCCTGCTGGGACCGTGTCCGACCGAAACGTATGGAATCCCATCCCCGGGCCCCCCCATGTGTGAACCCGTCGACGCAGGCAAGCATTTTCGCCACACCAACCGTGCTCGGCAACTCCCTCCATCGACCAATGGCCTCGCCCAAAATACAAGTGGCACGTGTGCCATGGCCTTGGCACAAAAAGGAAAGGGGATGAGGAGGAGGAGGAGGAGCAGGAGGAGGAGGAGGAGGGGGAGGAGGAGGAGGAGGCGGAGGGGGAGGGGCGAAGAGGGGGCAAGACATCGCCCCTCGGGGCCCAGCAACGGGTCCCAAATCCCAGGTCGGGAGGGGGGAGATGGTGGCGGCGTGCGTCGCGACGCGGAATAATGTGCTCGGAGCGGAGGGGGCACGGGGCGGAGGTCCCACTGGGGCGCTGGGGGCGCGGAGAGGAAGGGGTTGGAGGCGGTGTGCGTCGCGACGCGGAATAAAGTTGTCGGGGCGGAGAGGCACGGGGCTGGGGTCCCACTGGGGCGCTGGGGCGCAAGGGACGCGGGGGGAAGGGGGGAGGCGGTGTGCGTCGCGACGCGGAAAAAATATTCGGGGCAGAGAGCCACGGGGCGGGCGCCCACTGGGGCGCTGGGGACGCGGGGAGGGAGGTGGGGAGGTGGTGTGCGTTGCGACGCGGATTAAAGTTGCAGGGGCGGAAAAGGGGGCAGTGGGCTGGGCTCGGGCCGACTGGGGCGCTGGGGACGCGGAGGGTGAAGTGGGGGAGGTGGTGTGCGTCGCGACGCGGGGGAAAAAACAAAAAAAAAAAAAAAAAAAAAAAAAAAAAAACGTTCGTGGCGGAGGGGCCTGTGGGCGGGGCTCCTACTTGAGCGTTGGGGACGCGGGGGGGGGGGGCTCGGGGTGACTGGGCTGGGCTCCTACCGAGGCGCTGTGGACGCGGGGGGGTGGGGGAAGTGGTGTGCGCCGCGACGCATAATAAAATTGTCGGGGCGGCGGGGGCACTGGGCGGGGCTTGGGGCAGAGGGCCACGAGGCGGAAACCCAACTGGGGCGCTGGGGACGGGGGGGGGAAGGCGGCGCGCGTCGCGACGCGGAATACAGCGTTCGTGGCGGAGGGGGCACGGGGCGAAGCCTCCACTGGGGCGCTGGGGGCGCGGGGAGGGAGGTGGGGGAGGTAGTGTGCGTCGCGACGCGGAGTATCGCGTTCGTGGCAGAAGGGGCAATGAGCGGGGCCCCCACTGGCGCGCTGGGGGCGCGGGGGGGCTCGGGGCAGAGTGCCGCAGAGCGGGGGCCCCACTGTGGCGCTGGGGGCGCGGAGAGGGGGGGGGTGGTCGGGGGTCCGCCCCACTGGGGCGCTGGGGGAATTGGAGGGAGGGGAGTAGGCGGCGTGCGTCGCGACGCTGATAAACTGCCGGGGCGGAGGGGGCACGGGGCGGGGCTCCCACTGTGGCGCTGGGGACGCGGGGAGGAAGGTGGGGGAGGGGGTGTGCGTCGCGACGCGGAATAAAGCATTCGTGGCGGGGGCAATGGGCGGGGCCCCCACTGGGGCGCTGGGGGCGCGGGGGGGCTCGGGGCAGAGGGCCGCGGAGCGGGGGCCCCACTGCGACTGGGGCGCTGGGGGCGGGGGGAAAAGGTGGGGGGGGCGGCGTGCGTCGCGACGCGGAAAAACTGTCGCGGCGGAGGGGGCAGTGAGCGGGGCCCCCTCTGGGGGAGGGGAGGTAGTGACGTGGTGCGTGAGGAGGGGAAGGTGGGCATGCGTCGCGACGCGGAATAAAGTGGTCGGAGCTCTAGACACCCTGCGCAAAAGAATATAGCGTTCGTGGCGGAGGGGGCAATGGGCGGGGCCCCTACTAGAGCGCTGGGGACGCGGGGGCGGGGGGGCTCGGGGCAGATGGCCGCTGAACGGGGAGTCCACTGTGGCGCTGGGGGCGCGGGGACGGGGGCGCGGGTGAGGTGGGTGTGCGATGCGGAATAAAGCGTCCGTGGCGGAGGGGGCACTGGGCGGTGCGCCCACTGGGGCGCCGGGGGCGCAGGAGCGGCTCGGGGCGGAGGGCGTCGGAGCGGGTGCCCCACTATGGCGCTGAGGGCGCAGAGAGGGGGGGGGGGGGGGGGGGCAGGGAGAGGTGGGTGTGCGATGCGGAATAAAGCGTTCGTGGCGGAGGGGGCACTGGGCGGGGCCCCCACTGGGGCGCGTGGTGCGCCAGGGGGCTCGGGGCAGAGGGCCGCGGAGCGGGGGCCCCGCTGCGGCGCTGGGGGCGCGGGGGGTGGGGCAGGGGGAGGTGGGCGTGCGACGCTGAATAAAACGTTCGTGGCGGAAGGGGCACTGGGCGGGGCCCCCACTGGGGCGCTGGGGGCGCGGGGTGTGTTCGGGGCAGTGGGTGCGCGATGCTGGATAAGGCGTTCGTAGCGGAGGGGGCAATGAGTGGTGCCCGCGCTGGAGCGTTGGGGGCGCGGGGAAGCGGCGGGCCCACTGCGGCGCTGGGGACGCGGGGGTGGGGAGGGGGGCGGGGTGTGGTGGCTGTGTGGAGCTGAATAAAACGCATGTGGCGGAGGGGGCAATGGGCGGGGCTCCTACTGGGGCGCTGGGGGCGCGGAGTGGTGGCCCCACTGCGGCACTGGGCGCGCGATGGGGGGAGGGGGGGGGGCGGGGAGAGGCGGGTGTGCGACGCGATGTAAAGCGTTCGCGGCGGAGGGGGCAACGGACGGAGCCCCTACTGGCGCGCTGGGAGCGCCGAAGGGGCTCGGGGCAGAAAGCGGCGGAGCGGGGGGCCCACTGCGGCGCTGGGGGCGCGGGGAGAGGGGCAGGGGGAGGTGGGTGCGCGACGCTGAAAAAAAAAGCGTTCGCGGCGGAAGGGCGCGACGGACGGGGCCCCCCGCTGGGGCGCTGGGGGCGCGGGGGGGCTCAGGGCAGAGGGCCGCTGAGCGGGGGGCCCACTATGGCGCCGGGGGCGCGGAGAGGGGGGGCGGGAGGAGGTGGGTGTGCGATGCGGAATAAAGCGTTCGTGGCGGAGGGGGCACTGGGCGGGGCCCCCACTGGGGCGCTGGGGGCGCCAGGGGGCTCGGGGCAGAGGGCCGCGGAGCGGGGGGCCCGCTGCGGCGCTGGGGGGCGCGGGGGGCGGGGGCAGGGGGAGGTGGGCGTGCGACGCGGAATAAAACGTTCGTGGCGGAAGGGGGCAAGGGGCGGGGCCCCCAGCGGGGCGCTGGGGGCGCGGGGGGGCCGGGGGCAGAAGGCCGCGGAGCGGGGGGGGCGCAATTCCCGCGGTGGCGAGCGCCCAGGCGCGTCGCGCCCCTTCGACGGGTGCGACGCGCCCCCACGCGAGCGCCGCATCTGGGCAGGGCCCAACTGGGCTGGGCCCACCGCGGCGCGGCGCCGCATGCGTGGTAGACGAAACCACCGCGGCTCGCGGAGAGGGGCCAGCGCCCGGGCATGACACCACTGGGCGCAACTCACCGTCGCAGACAACACGCGCAGCACAGCGCGCCAGGTGTGGGCGGGTGGGAGAAACAAGACTGCAGCGGGCCTCCCCGCTCTGCAGGTAATCGCGCGCTCGCCCCCGTCGGGCCGCGCGCGCACCTGCGACGAACGCCTGCGCAGCGAGGGCACGCGCGCGCGCGGACCTGCCCAGCGCGCGCGCGCCTGCCAAGCGATCCACGTACACCTGCAGGAAGCGCACCGCGCGCGCGCCTGCTGGCCGCGCGCGGCCTCCCTCTGCACCCCCCCCCAAGGATTGTGCCCACGAACGAGGCAAGCTTGTGCGTCCACCGCAATCCCGGCGGTGGCGAGCGCCCAGGCGCGTCGCGCCCCTTCGATGGGTGTGACGCGTCCCCTCGCGCGCGCCGCATCTGGGCAGAGCCCAACTGGCCTGGGCCCATCGCGGCGCGGCGCTGCATGCGTGGTAGACGAAACCACCGCGGCGCGCGGCGAGGGAGCAGCGTTCGGGCATGACTCCAACTGCGAGCACGAACGCTGCTGCCGACGACGCCGGACACCCAACGCAGGCTGCGCGCGACGGCAGCTGCGCACGCGCGGAAACACTGTCCGCTGAGGGCCGAGCCTCGAGGGCGGCTGCCGCGGATGCGAGCGACACGGCCTCGCTCGCTGCCGCGCACTCGAGCTCCTGGCGGCCCAGATATTCCTTAAATGCGCAGGACGACCAGACCCCCGCCCTTAGGATGTCGCCGAGACGACCCCCCGCCCTGCGGACGGTCTTTGCGTGGCCGCGCCGCAAACACTTCGAGGTCAGCTCCACGTGGCGCTGCGTTCGCACACGGCGAGTATGGCTTCGGTGACCTTTGCACGAAGTTCTTCGCCGCTGAAGACAAAACGCCGTCAATAACCAGCATCGCGCACGATAACCCCCAGGCCCTCTAACGGTAATCTGGGGGCGAAGGCGAAGCGCAGCATGAGCAGCGCGCGAGATGTCGGGTCCGCCACGTGGGGCAGGACACGCAGGAGATTGTCGTGTAATAGGTGACGTTTCACAGGGCGCCCCTGTGGGCTGCGCTTCGAGATGGCCGCGCGGGCCCTCCCCGCCTCTCGCGCCGCGAAGCAAATCGTCTTCAACCGAAGTACCTATGCGCCAGGCGCACTGCAAATGCGCG